TTTTTTTCGCTGTTTTGGTTTCCAAGTATTCAGGCCACACGCCGATGATTAGATGACACCATTACTTGTCTGTGGCACAACTCCTTTTATACCTTCCGGTCAGATGGACTAAATGAGAAAAAAGTGAAGAGAGGGAAAAATAGAAAATGTTGGAATCGAATTGCCAAAAGGAAGTGCAGAGGACATTAATTGCGACACATAACTTGTGTCAAAAGCAGGCACACTAGCAGCTCACTGTACTGCCTGGTCGTGGTTGTGGAGGCGATTGAAGAAGTGGAATTGACTTCAAGACAAGAGGCCGAAAAAAAGGCAAAATTGCTGCAATGGTGGTTTGTGTGAGCTTGAAAACGAGGAGAAAGAGAGGCCCATTTTGATGGTCACTGCGTGCACAACCACAAAAGAGCGATGACCAAGACTGAAGAAAACGAAGAAGAAGACACACTAGATTGAAGGTCAAGCTCGCGTGCGCCAAAGTGACGATGTCGAAGAACCACTGGGCAAATGACCACTGGAAGCAAAGGTACAGCATTCCCATTGCCTGTCGCATCAGCAGGGGTCTGGCTGATGGTGCACCACCGCCACCACAGTTCGTGCTGCTGAACACATGAGCAGCTATTCCTTCAATCGATAAATGACTGCTGATTCTACAGTAGAGATTGTCCAAAAGTCATTCTTCTCTTTTGGCGATAACAGTTGAGATTGTTTTAGTTGTTTTAACTTTTTTTCACAGAAACACATCAGACTTTTTGACATTCTTTCTTTTGAGGAAGCGCCTCTCTCTCTTTCTCTGAACAATGCTATCATTTGTGTGTGTGAGCTCGAAGAAATACTGCTACTTGGGTGATTCAGTCAGATTTAAAAGACACACACACTGAAAGAACAGTTTGAAGAAGAGGGAGCGTGAGAGAAAAGTGCACTAGAGATATTAGGTGTCAGACCGTTAGTTGGGCGCTAATAGTGATGCTGCTTGGTGATAAGGGGCGATGCTTGATAAGCAGCCTACGTCCTTTTTGAGTGGGTGTGAAAAGACACACATTGGATGTCTCGGTGTCAGCCAGTAATAAACAGAGCACTTTAGTTACGTCTGCGGAGCACAGAGGCACCCACACGAGGAAAAGCATCATCAGTGTTTGTGTGTGTGTATGTGCGCTTAGAAGTGTCGGAAAAAAGCAGGCTAGNGCGATGCTTGATAAGCAGCCTACGTCCTTTTTGAGTGGGTGTGAAAAGACACACATTGGATGTCTCGGTGTCAGCCAGTAATAAACAGAGCACTTTAGTTACGTCTGCGGAGCACAGAGGCACCCACACGAGGAAAAGCATCATCAGTGTTTGTGTGTGTGTATGTGCGCTTAGAAGTGTCGGAAAAAAGCAGGCTAGATGAGCTTTGACAACCTACACAAGTGACCCTGTGATGGCCAAATTATCATCAATTACCACTCTATTTGTCGGACATCCATTTAATGGACACAACACTGAATTTCTAATCTTCTGCCGACTTCCACTAATGCTTGGCGCTGTTTTTCATGTGAATTAACTTTTGCCACTGTTTTTGTGCAAAAACGTCTTCAAAAGCGCCTTTTCATTTTAAAAGCTGAACCTGGACTGCTCCATAACGAAAAGCAGAACAGATCAACAACAGCAACAGAGGCACCAGCAGTAGCAGAAGCAGAAGCTGACAACTGGAACTTTAGAGACAGCCACAACTGACCCCTGGCTAGCAAAAAGTGTGTGTGTTTGTGAGTAGCTTTGGCCCTGGAGAAAATCATTTGCCCGGTCGGTGATTGAAGGAGAAGCAGAGAAAGCAGCAGCCACAGCAGCAAGAACCAGCAACCAGCAAGTGGACCAAGGAGAAAGAGAGAATGGAGAATGGTGTGTGCAGAAGAAAAGGCAGCCAAAGAAGCAGAAGCCGAAGTGTGCAGCTTGCCACTGCAGTACTGGCCTGCTGTGCGACAGCAGAGAGTGAGAGGGACTAACTCCACTAACCACTAGCCACTTGTTGCCGAAGAGACTTCTTTCGCCGTCTAAGTCGCCGTCGTCGTCATTTGCCCAGTCAAAGTGATTGTGCTGAACGTAAGTGCAAGTGCCTGCCTGCCGCAAGTCAGTAAGTGTTGCTGCTGCAGACGACAGTCGCGAACAGACACTCGCGCAGTGCACTTCGCCTCGGTGATCGGTGGCACTGTCGTCTTCTTGTCCTCATCAGATACGGCGTGTCTTCTTCAAGGAATTATTTACATTTGGCAATTCTCTCTGTTTCAGTTTCGGTTGCTGAAACGGAAGATCAACACTGAGCAACACCTTTTTGAACGTTTTAATCTTGTTTAAATTTAATTTGATAAGCCTTCTGCATTTGATTGTCAACTGCCTACCCTCACCACACACAACTTCTGCCTTCCTCGTCGCTATTTTTCTTCTTCTTTTGTGTTTCCTATTTTTGCCCACGGCCCCAGTGGCCGCCATTTTTTGCCTGTGCACAGTTGTCAACCCCCCACAGCAACCATTGCCACCTCAATTTACCCTCACTTTCACCAGCACCAGCACCTAGTCAGAGTGCAACCGACTGACTGCGAGCGCAGCAGCAGCGGCAGCAGTCGTCAGAAATCGGCAGCGATGGAGTTGCTGTGCATTGAGAGGGAGTTTGAGCCAACTGCCTCTCTGGACGGTGCCATCCTCGACGATGACCGTCTGCTGCACAACCTTATTCTCACTGAGGAGCGCTACCTCATTACTGGTTCTTACTTTAAGTGCCTGCAGACGGACCTGAAGCCAAGTATGCGCGAGGTGGTCGCCAACTGGATGCTCGAGGTAACTATTGCTGTCACTGCTGTCACCTCTACGACTACTGCTGTACAGCCCTTCAAATGTCATATTATAAAGTCATTGCTTTTGCTCGCTGTAGAAAAACACGTCTGCCTCTTTTACGCACCTTTTTCCCCTGCATCTTTTCCTTTCTATACCACCGCCTCCACCACCACCACTTTTGCTCGACTTTTCCTCATTGCGCACTTTGCTGTACATTAACCCGTTGCCAGTTAAACTGCACGTACACAGACCAGTAACATTAGCTGCAGCAGTTGAACCTGTCAAGTTCAGGGTTGTATAAGTTCCTTTTCCAGTGACAAGTAAGTTGTCAATAGCTGCAAAGCAACCAAAAGGCCATCAGACAATCTCTACCTCTGTGTTTGGCCTGTGTCTCTTGCTGGGCAATCTACTTTCCAATCAGCTGAGCTCACACTAACTCAACCTCTGTCTATGTCACTGTTTTTTGCCTGCCTTTTCCTTTGTTCTCTTTTGGCTTCCTATGCTAACACTCGTCTTTGCAGGTGTGCGAAGAAGAGCGCTGTCAGCGTGAGGTGTACCCACTTGCAATGAACCTACTTGATCGCTTTCTGGCGGTGGTGCGAATCAGCAAAACACAACTGCAACTCCTTGGCTCCGTCTGCCTCTTTATAGCGTCCAAAATGCGCCAGTCGAGGCCACTGTCGCCGAAAGCGCTCGTACAGTACACCGACTGGTCGATTACACTCGAAGAATTAACCGTAAGTGATCGCTGAGCAGTGATCGCAGCCGGTGCCATGACATCGCGAGCGTGGAGCACGATTCCACTAAATGACATCGATCTTTTCAGGGTTGGGAGATGCTCGTTCTGAGCAGGTTGAAATGGGACGTGGCATCAGTGCCTCCAAATGATTTTGTCGGACCACTGCTTCGTCGTCTGGCAAAGAAGTTTAAGCTAATTGGCGAGCACTATGTTCGCATCAAGAAGCACACCCTCAACATGATCGACCTCTGCTCTGCTGGTGAGTGCTCTCTTTCTTTCTCTCTTTTATCTTTTTTAAATGCTAGTTAAACGAGTTAATTACTACTCAATTGACTGTGTCAGGTGACGATTCACCTGACACATGCAAATACACTTACACACACACAATACACCTGATGCACTTTGCATTAGAGTGGAGTCGCAGTGAACTGCCTGCCTGAGCAGTGAACTTGCACTCGAGGTCAAAGGGAAAGTACTGTTACGTAATGAGAAAGTGAAGGATGGAAGACAGACAAACCGGCTTTCCGCCGTCTGGCGACCCTTCCCCTCTTCTACCTCTCCCGTTACTTACCAGCCGAGCGTATCTCATGACCTGGTACTAAATCACTCTGTATCACACTCAGGTTATCACTGAAAAAAACTCGCACATTTTTCGAATTGGTTTATTTGGAAAGCTCAATAACAAAATGTGCCTAGTGGTCATCATTATCACAGTCTCAGTAAGTGTGACAGCTAGATCCGTGTAGCAATTTTTTTGCCTTTTTCAGCAGCAATCTTCACGGTGGCACTCTCCTTTCCAGCTATCATTATGACGGCAGCTATCCCCTTCAGCATCGTTCTAATTATACGACCTGCATGGTCACACTGCCTAGACCCTTTTGACCAGCCGTTTGGCCCCCTTTTGGGAGGTCAAATTGCCAGGCAGAAAGCTGTTGTTGGTAGAAGAGGAAAAAGATAGCCACTAAGTCTGGGAGAGGTCGTCATTGCTGGAAGGAAGGTAACGCAAAAGTAAAGGTGCTCTGTTTTGCCTTTTTGTTTTGTCAATGCCGCCTCTCTCTCCGTTTGTTGCACTTTCTTTCTTTCTCGCTAGTGCCCGTGCTAATCTGGTTTCAACAAGAAGAACAACAATGAACAGCAACGCCATGTCGCAATGTTTTTTGCTTTTGCGCTCTCCCATTTGAAAGAAGCCTCTTCAAGTTTACTTCTTTTTCACACACTGTGGCAGAATGACCACTGGGAATGTCGCCGGACTGGCGGCAGCGACAAGGGCGAATTCCTTCTTAAAGTTGCCTTTGAGAGCTGGCCGTTTTACTTGAATGGCAAGTGACTCTGCTCTTCAGAATGGTTCTCTCGTGTTTTCTCTGTTTCTCTGTCTCAGCCTGCCGCACACACTTGGTGCACTAGTCGCTTGGTTCACTCTGGGCCACTGGCACTACTACTACTACTAAGCACATCGTTTGTTTTGGCCCGTGACAAGAAAGGCTATGGGGTATCATGGTGCATTCGGTTAGGTTGCGTGCAGCCCATTTCAATCTGCAGACATCGTCAATCCTTTCTCTCTTTCTAACTTTGTTCTTTTCCCTGGCCCAGACCACTGGCCACTCTGTTCGTTGTCTTGTGCCCCTTGGTGATACATTCGCACCCATTTAATGTGTGTTTACACTCTCTGTGGCTAAGGTTCGGACTATGTCTGTGTGTGTGTGTTTTGCCGCCTTCTTCGTTATGGCTGCTGCTTAGCATGTTTCTCCTTTTTATGGCCGCCTGTTCTGGTGCAGAGGTCAAATTGCAGCGTTGATGATTTATGGAGTTGCCATTTCATCTATATCAATTTGAGCTGTCCTTTCTTTCTCTTTGGCTTAGCTCAATGTTAAAAATGATGATGATGATGATGATTATGCGGCCCTTGCCTGGTGTCCTCCAACGACGGTCCACCGAGAAGCGGACTCGTCTTCATTTTCATCTTCTCTTTCTCAAGTTTTTACATCTCAAATGAAACTGACCTATAGGTTGGTGGACAAGCATCATCATCATCACTTGACTGGACTGAACTGGACTATCTTCCTCCTCCTCCTAGGACTACTGCTAGCACATTTTTGGCCTAAGTGGGTGCGAAGTTCTCGCCTGCCACTGTCCATCGCAACACGTCTCTTCTTTAGCCTCTCTTTCCCCCTCTTCTCTTCGACTGTCTAAGTCGGTGTCTGGCGATGGTCAGCAGTTATGGTGCTCTTGCACAGCATGTCATGGCGCCTCGTCTGGCGGCTTAGCTTAGGCCTTCTGCGCTCACAATTAAGGCAAGAGCGCGCAAAAACAGCCATTTACGTGCTTCATCGCCACCTGACACGCCTCTTTTCCTCTCTCTCTCTCCCCTCCACTTGCACCATCATCTCAAGTGAGCTGTTTTAATTGGCGAGAAGTGCAGCTAAAAAGCTCATCTGCTTGTGCACCGTCATCATCACCACCACCACCACCAGACACGATGTGCTCATCTTCACCTTTGAGCTACCACTATAAATCACCCAGGACACAACTTTATTATATTTGCGCAATTACATTCCCCCTCCCTTAGCCTTACACTTGCTTTTCTCTGCCCCTCTCTCTGGCCGCCATCATCATCGTTTTCTCGGCCACTGGGCCAAGCTGCCATCTTCACACTTTCTCCGCAGGAATGTGTGAAATGTCATCCTCTCCTCTCTCTTTCTGTTCAACACATAGCTGCCGCAACAGTGTAGCAGCTAGACTGCACTGATGATGATGATGATGGTGGTGGTGATGATTGTGGTAGTCAGAGAATAGTACTGAAGTAGCTTCAGTTGGTCGGAAGCAATGTCGCTTCTTCTCTGCTGCCGGTCGGCTGCCGCTGCTGTTTTTGGCCTTTTTGGCCATTTAATCGGTGCACAATCTGTGCCCGTAAGCAGGAAGCAGGACAGTCTAGCCGGTGCAGTAGTGCAGTGAATGAGCGAGTGCGCAACTGCTGCCACTGCAGTAGTAGCGGATCTCCTTTTTCCTTTTTGCCTCCTTCTTATTTAATGAATGAAATGAAATGACACCACAACAGCAACAAGTGTTCTTGCAGATTGATCTCGTCTACGGCCTTTGTACGGCCGCGCTCTGGTAGTTAGGCAACCGAAGCAGTAGTACTTTTGTTGCTATCTGAGTTATGCGGTGCAGTTGCCACTTCAATGTCCGACCATCTTGAACTGTTTATCTCTTTTTCACCCCTTGCCAACAGCACCCAGACTTTTCTGGCAAAACGATCACTGTACTAGTTAGTACTGGATTGGCCACCAGTATGTCACTTTGGAAGGCAGCTTGGGAGGCATCTTTTTTTCATTTCTTTCCTAATTAGTATTTGCTGTGCCAGACTGAGTATGATTCAATAGAGTCTCTACCATTACTTCCTCCACTACTTCTGCTAATCACTAGCAGATGACAGTTGCTGAGGAGACTGGGGAAGTAGAGTACACGTCTGCGAGCATGGTGATTCTCGGCAACACGTCGAGAATGCGACGTTGGTGGTGACCACTTGCCTCAGTGATCACCACCTCTATCGAAGTATTTTCAATACACCACCATCACCTCAACCGCATACTGATTTTTATTTCTGTTCATGTGCTTTCAATCGGTGCTTTCACCCCACAGACTACAACACGCTTGTTTGATGTCAATCAGTGAACCAATGGTGCCATCCGCTTGTCGTCCTTGTCTGCATTTCTGACCTACATTCTTCAGCATTTGACTGTCAAAATCACTTCGATCTTAATTAGTCAGTGGTTGTGTGCGTCTGCTGCATTATTTAATCAGACATTTCAGGAGAAACAAAACATGGACGGTAGTGGTGGTAGTGGTGGTGGTGATGAGACAGATGGTGATTGCCAGCCTGTCTGCCAGATTGGCTAATGCAATCGCCGCCGCCAAAGTGGACGACAGAACTTTGACGCCACTTGCACTCACCTTTTAGTGTTCTTTCTCTCACACACTGTAGCTGTACAGTCTGACGCACGTACTAATAAAATGAAAAATAAAAAAAGTTACTAACTAAAAGTAGCATTCATAGCTGGAAGCAACTTTTATCAGCTAGCTAGCCAGCTAGTTAGCTTCCCCAGTGCCGAGTTCAGTTCAGTTCTCACTGCGGTGACCATTCATCGCCTGAAGAAGTGTCGCATCCTGTGACATTGAACCGCAAGTCGGCAGTGTCGGAAGGTGAACACATTTATTGCAGTAGTATTTTAGTGTTAGCTGGCAGAGATGCTAGCCCTTTGCTGACCAGGAGGCTGCTGCCCTCTTTTCGCTGCTGTACCATGGCCTCTTTGCTGCAGGACAGAAGCGACAGAAACGACAGCAGCAGCCAAGGCCACTTGTTGACAGCCAGTGTAGACAGTGACTCGCTATCAGACTGCTGCTGTTGCAGCACACTTGTTCGTCTGTTCTGTCGCCGTCTTGACACAATCTTTCTTTCTCCTGCTTGCTCTCTCTCTCTCTCTCTCTCCTTTTTCCTAGCGTCTTGACCGGAAACTACCCAGTTGCGGCGGAATGCTAAGCTCACTCTTCTGCTCTAGTAGCGAAACTTGAGGCAGTGTACTTTAGGCATAAATTATCTTTCTCCACTGGTCTACTGCCCGTATGTTAGGCAGCAAACACGAGAGCAAAAGCACAGATTGTTTTGCACAGTGTGACTGCAGTGCTAGCGGTGGTAGTACTGTGCCCCCACTTGATTTCATTCATCAATTGGTCGCCGCCGACGCTGCTGTTGTTAGCAATGCTTTCGGAGTGGACCACATTGGAGGAAAAGAACAGAAAGTGGAAAGAAGTAGAGTAATGAAAGGCAAGAGCGCTTTAAACTGTGTCCTTTCAATGAATGAACGACTGACTGAATGATTGAATGAATGGAATGCCTCTCTCACACACACTCAGTCACTTAGAGCGGCCGACGACGCTGGCTGGTACGTCGTCTCTGGTTGCCTGCACGTATTTATTTCCTTGCCTAATGATCGGAGAACATTACTTTTTTACTTGCTGATTTGCCTTTTGTCACCCCCGTTGTCAGTGTATGATTTGCAGAGTGTGATTCTCGTGATGGTCAATTTGGAAGCGTTTGCTAGCAGTTCGCTAGCCCTCCTCGTCAGTTTGCATGCGCGGCGAGGGCATTAATGTGGGCATGATTCCGCCGTCCAATGCATCACGATTTTTGGTGGCGGAGACTGTCGTCTCTTGCTGAAAACGGGCTCATTCACTGGCAATTGATGAGCAGCTACTGAGCAG